AGTAGCAGTGGAAGTTTTGGAGAAAACCAAACTCTTCCAACTTAGAGCTCTAATGTACAACAAAGTCGTGGTGGATTCTTTGTGGCGCAAGGGGATGTAACTGGAGAGCCATCAAGACATGGTCTTAAGAAGAATATAAGACCACCTAAATTGCCAGTAAGAAATAATATTTTTGTTACTTTTTAAAATAATAATAATTATTTCTAATTTTCATGTTTTTCATGTTTCTTTCTATGTTGTTTTTACTTGTGGAAGTTGAAGAAAGCTACAAAACACACAAGGTAACAGTGAACAAATCCCAGCCTAGATACTTTAATCCTGCCAATGTAAGATTTCTGTTACACTTCATGCTTCATTTTATTAAAACAACTCCCAACCTATACATATATTCTAATAGTTGCTTATTGAAGTTTCATCCACCTCAAGAAATTGTACAACCAACCATCACCACGGGTTTTAGAAGGGGTACTTTCATTACACCAAATGAGCCAAGGATCCTAATTGCAAGTCAAATATCAACAAGGCCAGTTGTAACCCCTTCTTTGCAAGCCAGGACTCCGATGCTACAAACAGCCCTAAAGTCTAATATGTCCAGGCCTAGAGGGGTCACTTTCATCACACCAAATCTGATAAGTACAATTACAGTCCCAACTTCTTTGCAAGCTAGGCCTCTAATGCGACAAGCAGCCTCATACTCCCATATGTCTAGGCCTAGCATGCACACCACACCACAAAGTTCATTTCGAACTTCAAAGCCATGGAAACCACCTGGCAAAGTTGCTTGTACAAAAAAAGCAACTACAAGTTCACAAAAAAAGCATATTTGATTCTAGTTTGAGCTATTTTGGTATTTTTGGGCAGTTGAAACGGAAGTTCTTTTGTGAAGAGAAGGCCATGTAGTACTTGTCTTTGGTGCATATTCAATTTTATTTTGTTAATTTGGAATTAAGGCATGGAATTACTTTTTGGTACATATACATTGAAACTCAAACTAGTTTTTTGTGATCTTGATGTAGTTGTCAATAATGGATTTGCTTTTTCTTTGGTACTGATGGGGATGTACTTGGGAAGAACGGATTTTCTTGTCAAGAATGAATTTGCTTTTTCTTTGATTCTATTAAAGTTGTTTCTGTAACAAATTAAGTACCTCACACAATACCAAATACCAGTCATCACTGTCATATAAACAGAGCACTCTTGACAAGCCAAGCTAATCCAAGGATGACCTTTAATGCCACCAATCCTGTTAGTTTTTGTATAGTGGACGTTTCATGCAACTTTTTTTTCTTTTCTAAACTTTACAAACCAATAAGTGCCAACAAACAATTTTGACACATATGTAAAAATGCATTAGATCCAATATACCTAAGTCACAAGAATTGTGCTTGAAATATATCTTGGCATAAATTCACCTCTTTGAAACCTTTGCTAAATAGAAAACTTGAAGCTTGGTGGCTATCATCTCGTAAAGTCCAAGCTTGGTGGACCCTGGTTTTGGTTTTGAGATCTCTACATTCCTTCTATTTTTTTTCTTTATTTTTTTGGGTACAATACGGGGCCAAACACCCAAAACCAAACAAACTACATAGGAATCAACCTTGAATTAGGGATACTGCTAGCATCAGCAGCAAGAACATTATTAAGGAAGAAAGGTTCCATATCCAAAACATGAAGGCCCAAAGGGAAATCATAGCTCTTGGCAGCTAAGGCATCAACAACCTTATTTTGTTCACGTACGGTAAACATGACAGTGGGAGCAAACCCAAACACCATGGAACTGCAATTTATAGCAATCACCATGAGAGAGAGAGAGAGAGAGAGAGAGAGAGAGAGAGAGAGAGAGAGAGAGATCTAGATTCGATTTGTCTCCTTGCTTTCTTAATGCAGACTCACGTACATTGGTTGATATTCAAGGGAACTAATAAAATTTGAAAACCCCAATTCTCATGAATGCCAAGGAAAAGAGTCGCGAGCATTTCAGCAATTGAGTTTGTGTTAAAATACCTTTATGCCCACTCACGTGCTATGCACATGTCTATTTTAACGTCTATTTGACAGATTGTCATACATTGAATAACATATGTAAACACAGGGACTAAATTAGTCAAATTAAAAATACAGGGACTAAATTAGCCGAATGGGTAAAACACAGGGACCATTTTGACATTTAAGCCAAATTAAATAGAGGAGGTAGAGTTGATTAGGAATGGGTATTGGAATGATTCCAATTCCTACTTTTTCTATGTTTATTAACACATGATTATTGGAATGATACAAATTCTTGGCTTTCCCTGCGTTTGTTAATACATAAGAAATGAAAAATTACGTGGTATCTAAGTTAAAATCGTAATTGCATACCCTCAAAATCGAGAATGAAATCAACAAGAGATAGTAGTTGATCTGATTTCCATACATTAATTACCCAATTTAAATTTTCCAATTCATGACTTCTCACATCCTATTAAGTAAACATGAATGTAGAATTTGGGAAAGAAATACCTATTAAAATATTCATTTTGGCTCCACAATAAAGAGAGGAGGTTGAAATTTCCTAAAAAAATAAGGTGGTAGAAAGTGAATAAGAGATAGACAAATTTCCAATTAATACGAGGAGTAAGTTATTTATGGACCCTACCAATATACATTATTTGATATTAAAATAGGTGAGCGACCGTGTGTTCCTCAAGTCAACGGGATATTAAATATATCATGCTATTTTGAATGTTCAACTGAATCAATATAAACACTACTCAAAGTCTTTGTTTATTTCTAAAATATATTATAAACTCTTAACTTTCTAATAATTACAACTGCTCTTTTATTTTTTGGGTAATTTGAATCGTCTCATTTCCAAGTCATTTTTGGTGTGAACGTTGTCATATTGTCATATTCATTGCCAATTTGCCACATAAACCTGACTTCTTCTTTTTTTACTTTATTTACGTTTTCTCTAAATTGGAAGCCAAACTTTAAGCCAAACTTTAAGAGTGTTTAGATACACAAGGGGAGGCAGCCGGGTGTTAGTGTTGTCTTGTCATGTCAATATCATATCTTTGGACTCTTGACTTTGATATTCTTCTGCAATCTTGGCTTTCTTCTCTTCTGTTTTCTGATTATCTACAAGCCAAGCCTCTAGGAACCAAGGATGAAGAGCCGACCTCCCTTCACGTCCCCACACTGCCACACCCGCTTGTCTTCATATTGAGATGCTTTTCATGTATTGTCTGTATGAACGCATTGGTTGAATGGTGGCCCCATGTCAATATGCCTAAATGAGCTGTAAAATGCAAATTGATCTTTCGTTTGCTGTTTTACTGTTAAAAAGGATCATAAAGCGATAATGTATTGAGTGCAAGAGAGCCGAGCTCAATACTCTGACCAACTAACTTAATTCACATTTTCTATCGAAGTAGCATTTTTACTAGTAATTAATTATTATGTAGTACCGAAACACCGTCTAGCAAGCGAGTTCCATATATTCTAGACTTAAAAGGGTCATAATCTGGCATCTACATGGTGTTTTACAATATGGAGGGCCCCATATTAAGGACAGAAAGATATGGATGGATGGTGAAAGCTCAGCATTTTACGACATGTACGTACTGTTATGCAAGTTGCTCTCCCATGCATTGCATTCAAACGCGTAGAATTGAATAATACTTTGGATTTGTTTGTCCCGTTGAAGAATATCATCAGCTGGGCACTCCTGTCCTCTTCCGTCCTAACTTCTGTGTGATTAGAATTAATGCATGTCAACATTATTATAATATGAACGTGCTGCGTCCATTGAAGACATTGACTGATAAATACGTGTGGTGGGGGGTGGGGGGTGGGGTTGGGTTTGTTTCACATTTCCATTATGTGCGTGTATACCACGTTTGGTGTTATCATTGAATTACAATGTTGTGGCTCATCGGTTAGCTCGATTTGTTCTATTTCTTTTTCAAATTGAGTGTTCTCAACCTCCTTTTTGAGAATTATTGTACTTCGAAATTATTTACCTATCAATAAAAATTACTGTTTTAGCATATAAAAAAACGATTGGATTGCAGTGGATTGGATTAAATAAAGCGTTATAATCAATTTCATAAGTAGCCTATTTATTAGATTAGTACAGATTAAGCACAGAAAGATGTAGTTCTAGGTCACATCGTGTATGATTAATTTAATCATCTTTATATATTATTTTTCCCTTTTGGACAAAACAAGAATGTTACTGAATCAGCCACGTTTGTCACCCTGAAGTGAATTGAAAATGAAACAAGAATCTACGCCACGAATTAAAAGGAACAAAGAGAGGAGCTCGAATGGAATAGAATATAAGCCTTCATTTCCTCTCTTTGGATTTTAGTTTTTTCGTCAACCAAATTACTTTTAGAAGGAGATGGTGGACAAAAATGCATTCTTAGCAGAAGACAAATTGAACTTCCCAATTGATTTCCAGATCTCATATTGACATAAATAAACATTTATTATGTATGGTGTCCTCAGCTCAGTCCGCATCTACATGTGTACATTTCAGTAAAGGGCAGCTGCACACCCATAATAAAATTATGTTATCATGATGAGTATTATGCATCGAGCTAATCACAGATATATATCGTCTTGCATTCATATGTGGGCCGAAATTAAAACCTTCTCTTATTGAATGGAGATAATTATCACTAAACTAAAGGCTAGTTGGTTGGTTATTTTGTTTCATAATTGGATATAAAAATTCCACTCTTATTCCTTACAATTGATCAACACTGATTTTGTGATTTTATAAACTGTAAAGCATGTGTTGATAAATGACTAGTTACCAATTGGAAACAGTAATTTAATAAATTACCAAGTTCAGTTGAGGATTTGCTTGGAAGGTTCCTATTTCCAGTAATGTTCCATCATGCCTTTTCACTTTTGTCATCATGGGTCAAAAAAACACCCCATATGGAAAATATCAGAAAGATAGAAGCATACATTGCAACAAATAAATTTTCATAATTTCCACACACAAATGGTCAAATACCAAACACCAAGTTTATTATGGATTAACATAATGCACTTGAAACTAAAAACTCCCACACACTCTTCTCCTACCTTGTCCAATCTCCACCTTTCTATGCCTCTCTCTCTTTCCTTGAGCTTCAAAAGCAGAGACTCAGAGTTTGAACTCAAATATGGGAACTGATGATTTTTCATTTCCAAAGTTGCTTCTTGCATACCTCATATGCTCCACTTCATTTTTGTTCTTTGCAACTTTTGGACAGTCAGCCACAGCCACAGCCAAGCTTCACAGTCAGGAAGGTACCTTAAAACTCTAATTTGCAACTTTCCTCACATACCCTTTTGGCAGGGAACAGCTTTTGGTTGAGCTCATTTCAGCTAAGTTGAGTTGTTCTGCCAATCAAAATGAGTCCCAGGAAATTGGCAAATCAACTCAGCTTACCTGAACTGAGTTCTCATAGTATGCAAGTTTCTTCATTACATTCAATTCATTCCTTTTCCTTGGTTGGTCTTTTGGGAGGAAGTAAAAGAGATTTGGAATCTTGTTTATCATGAACTTGTGATATTTTATTCAACCAAATTAACATTAGAAAGATGTCTATGTATTGGTCCTGTTTTGTTTTCCTGCAGTTCCTTGAAAACCAAATTAACAGGTAATTTGATTTATTCACCCATGTGTTTTTGTTGGGTACTTTAATGGAGCAGTGAATGCATTGAAGGAGATAGGGAAAAAGCTGGGGAAGAAAGACTGGGATTTTAGGAAAGATCCATGTACAGGAGAAGGGAATTGGAATGGGTCGATTGAAGGGAGGAGGAAAGGCTTTGAGAGCTCTGTCACATGTGACTGCACCTTCAACCACAATTCCTCTTGCCACGTCATCAGCATGTACAGTACACCTCTCTCTCTCTCTCTCGACTTACAAAATGTTTAGAGTTGACCAGTAATGACAAAAATGTCCTGCATTATGGCATATTCAAGAACTTGAACATTTTTTTTTATTTTTATCAAACACTTTTATAACTAGTTTTAAGTTCAACTAGGTAAGTCCTTGTTTATTTGACATTCATGAGACTAGTGATGGAATTATTTCACATGGGCTTTATCATTTATTATGATCATTCATGAGAGCTCTTCTAATTTGCTCTGAGGATATATTGCAGAGCTCTAAAGGCCCAGAATCTATCAGGTACTGTGCCACCAGAATTTTCTAAGCTTCAGCACCTGAAAGACTTGTAAGCAAAACCAGTTCCTCTCTTATGTTAACTGATTTCCATTTCCATTCTAAAATATTAGTTTTTCCTTTCCTTATACTAAACCTTGTTGGTGCATCCACTAATCTTTGCAATCCTATTACTTTTATAGAGACCTGAGTCGAAATTACCTCAATGGTTCTATACCTTCCCAATGGGGTACTATGCGCTTGGTTACGCTGTAAGCGCCCCATTTCTCATCAGTTACTAATTATTCAATGAACTTGTAATCAACCGAATGCCTTATACTTTGCTATTGAATCTGCAGCTCCCTTATGGGGAACAGATTGTCAGGTCCATTTCCAAAAGTTCTCACCAATATCACCACTCTCAGAAACTTGTATGCTTAATTCTTTCCTTAATTCTCATATTGATGATGACTATGAATAGAGCTGATAACTAGATGCTGGTTGATTAGAAATGAGGCTCTCTATCCTTATTTGTTGAAACTCGACATCAAATCCATATTTCAATGTATTAAAATGGAAAATCCAATGTATCATATCAATAGAAAACTGAAAATATATTTTATAACATCAAATGGTATCTGCCTTATGTGGCCGGAGCAAATATGTCCTTGATAGTAGTTGAAACTCAGTTAGACTTTGATGGCTCTATATTGTTTTAAACACCATTTCAGATGTTATGATCAAAGTAAGCATTACTATATCATTGTATATTACTTACAGGAGCATTGAAGGAAACCACTTTTCGGGACCCATTCCACCAGAAATTGGGAAGTTGATAAAGTTAGAAAAGCTGTAATTTCTCATTACCTTCTCTGTGTACAATCATTCATTGGAAATTCCCACTAATGTGGTCTTTTTTTTTTTTTTTTTCACTCTCATTACCATTGACATTATCCTTATTTTTCTTCAGCGTTGTATCTTCAAATGCCTTCACTGGAGAATTGCCATTAGCACTAGCAAAGTTGACCAACTTGTCTGATATGTAAGCAAGCATGTGTTCCTTGATCTGTGGGTTTGTCAACCTAAATAAATAATCCTTTACGAATACTGATCTAGTTTAACTAAAATGATCTCTGATAAACCTACCTTTAAGATATATACAGTATACAAGACATTAGTTTTTGCTCTGGTTACAAGTTCACTGGGATGCCAAAAGCTATACAGATAACAGATTTTAGATTTATTATGTATATGTGAGTGTGATGCATATGCTATCACATCAGGTGCCTGAAAATATATTTGATAGTTTTCTAATATCTTTGAAATGAATGACTTTTCCTGGGTTTCTAGCTAAGTTTTGTTTCCATGAAACTTTTAGGAGGATTTGTGACAATAACTTCTCTGGAAAGATACCTGATTTCATCGGAAATTGGACACAGATTTCAAAATTGTAAGCTTCCCCCTTGCAGTTTTCTTACAGCAATCAGAAGTATATATTTTTACGATTTTGAAAATTTCCACTCTTATGTTGCAGGCTTATCCAGGGTAGCTCTCTTGAGGGGCCTATACCGTCTAGCATATCAGGCTTAACTAGTTTAACTGATCTGTATGCAATTCTATTGCCTTATCTTTCTTTTCTGTCAAACAAGAATGTGAACTTATGGTTTTACCTTTAATGACTTTTAGGAGGATAACCGACTTGAGAGGTACAGAGTCTCCTTTCCCACCATTGAGAAATTTGGAATCCTTGAAAAAACTGTAAGTTGGAATCCTAACCAGATTTGCATTTTCCTTCTACTGTGCAAATTGAGCTCATAAATAGTTAAATATTTTTAATCCAGGATACTGAGGAATTGCTTGATATACGGAGTGATCCCAGCTTATATTGGGGATATGAAAAGATTGAAAAACCTGTAAGCACTTAAAACAAATGAATTTCTTGAATTTCTGACTTCCCATCATTCATTTTTTTCTTATGTTGGAGATACTAATCTGCCTTCTTCTTTTTTCTTTTTGTTGGTAATCAATACAGAGACCTCAGCTACAATGAGCTGACCGGTGAAATACCTGCATCTTTTGTCCAACTAGCAAAAGTTGACTTCACGTAAGCAGATTTCTAGATTATATTTTCATCTTCACACAAACTTATTCTCATTAACTTTTTTCACTCTAGGTATTTGACAGGAAACCAGCTTACTGGAACTGTACCTGGATGGGTCCCAGGAAGAAACAATATTGTGTATGTACTACAAAACTGCAGGAGCTATCTTGTTTTGCTTTAGAAGATTACTTTTTGTTATGATTAGTTGAAATTTTGTATACAGGGATTTATCGTACAACAACTTCACTTGGGAAAGCTCAAGTCCTAATGAATGTCCTAGAGGGAGTGTGTGAGTAGGATACATGCTATTATCTTTCTCTTACATTTTTTAACCAACTACTTTGTAGAATGATAAAACAATGCTCTCTGTTGCAGAAACTTAGTAGAGAGTTACTCCTCATCGGCTGATAAATTGTACGATTTCTTTCTCGTCAGTTGATAAGAAAATTTTGTTGCTTCCTATGGTTTCTGATTGAGGCTCCAGCCTTTTAATCAGATTTATCTTCATGATATAAGCTCACATTTCTTCCTTGTTGCAGAAGTAGAATCCAACCATGCCTGGAAAGAAATTTTCCATGTCATGTTTCGAAAAATCAACGTAAGAATATCAATTGGTCTCAAGCTTGACCTGCGGCTTTATGATTCAGTTCATCTATATGCATGTCAATATGAATTAATCCTTTCTTCCCTTGTATTTTACCCCAGAAAAACAATGAAAAAGAATAGAAAAAATTGAAAAGTAAAAGAAAACTAGTGATGAGGTGATAAGAAATTTAAGTCTCAACCTCTTTTGATTTGTCCTGATGGATAACAGGTAAATATTCCTTGCATATCAACTGTGGTGGAAAGGAAGTAAATATTGGTGGCAACAGGTATGAAGCTGATAGAGAACAAAGAGGTGCTTCCATGTATTACATGGGTCAGAACTGGGCTCTCAGCAGCACAGGGAACTTCATGGACAATGATATTGATTCAGATATCTACATTGAAACCAACAAGTCTGCACTTTCAAAAAATGTCTCTTTGCTCGATTCAGAACTGTACACAACCGCACGTGGATCTCCCATCTCTCTCACATACTATGGACTCTGTCTCATAAATGGAGACTACACTGTCAAACTCCACTTTGCTGAGATTGTTTTTACTAATGATAGAACTTTTAACAGCCTCGGGAAGCGTATATTTGATGTCTACATCCAGGTAAATAAATCACACCAGATAAACAATGGAGAATCAATCCTATACTAATATGTACTTATTTATTTATTTATTTGGTATAAAGGATAAGCTGGTGCTGAAAGATTTCAACATAGAAAGTGAAGCTGGCGGTGCTGGCAAGCCCATTGTAAAGAATTTCACTGCAGTTGTTTCAAGTCATACATTAAAGATCCATTTTTACTGGGCTGGAAAAGGGACAACAGGCATCCCTAACAGAGGATTTTATGGCCCTCTCATATCTGCTATATCAGTAGATCCTAGTAAGTACTTTTAAAATGCACTCTCACCATGCATTTTTCCTACTTGAACGGTCTAAGCATTAGAACTTACTCGTTATTGATGCTTTCAACAATGCAATATAATTGTGCTTAGGAGTTACATCTGGTTCTGGCCAACTCCTATTGATAATTCCACATGAATTATTGCACTAGAGACTACATGACAGCTTTTAGTCTACCTTAGCTAAGTTGAGAAGCAAATCTATATATGGTGGTCCCATGCATAACACTAAAAAGAAGAAGGAAGTGAGGGATGACATAATAGGTTACTGGGAAAGCTTTACGGATTGGCCTTCAATCATAAAGTGAAGAGTCTTAAGTTTTAAGTTTTTCTGTACAAAAACATGTTTAATGTTTTCATGGAATACATGAGTTAATTAAGGTACACTTGTTGCAGACTTTGAACCTCCCTCAGTTGAGCGCAACAAGAATCACGTTGTTATAGCAGTTGGGACAGTGGCTGCAGCACTACTTCTTCTGCTTCTGATCTTAGGCATCTTGAGGAGAAAGGGTTGTTTGGGAGGAAATATCTCTGCAGATAAAGGTCTGATTTTCTATTTCATAAAAAAACATGTTTAATTTTCTTCTTAATGTATCTCTTGTTCTCTCCCTAATTTCTCAACAACTCATGTTGGTGAGCAGATTTACTGGTGTATCTTTGTTATAACAAGAAACAGTTTTAATTAATATTCTTCTCTTAACTGACTTTCAAGCAGAGCTCAGAGATTTAGATCTTCAAACAGGATTATATACTTTAAGACAGATAAAGGCTGCAACGAAAAACTTTGATGCAGCAAACAAACTCGGGGAGGGCGGCTTTGGTTCAGTCTACAAGGTAATTTTTGTTTCTTTATGTTCATCTCTTCTTTTTTTCTTTTTTTTTCTGGCTTATTCTAAGTGTTCTTAGATGAGTAGGTTGACTCAGATGAAAAAGAAACATTTAAAAAATGAAAAGCCTAAGAAATGAGGGAATGCATTCTACAAGAAATTGGAGAAACTACAAACATCTACCTATTCAATTGGCATCACAGCAATGAATTTACATGAAAAACTTTTCAAAAGTAACTTCTCAAATATAACTTGATTCTCTTACAATTTCTGATATGACAAGGTGGTAGTGTATGGAATGTGGAGGCTTAAAAGACAGCAAAATCATCCAAAGGGATGGAGTTTTAAGCCAAAACTAAACCTTTTAGCAGTCAATATGAGCATGTGTGCAATACACAACCAGAAATTGCTGATCTTCTTTTGCTTTCTGAATAGGGTCTGTTATCAGATGGCACAGTAATTGCAGTGAAGCAGCTCTCTTCAAAATCAAAGCAAGGAAATCGGGAATTCGTGAATGAAATAGGCATGATTTCTGCCCTGCAACATCCGAACCTTGTGAAGCTGTATGGATGTTGTGTTGAAGGGAACCAGATGCTTTTAATTTATGAGTACATGGAAAATAACTGCGTATCACGTGCTCTTTTTGGTGAGAATGGTAACACTAAATTGTTTAGGATTAGCATACCATTTAAACAAAAGGCAGGATTGATTCCAAGTATGAAGTAGATTGACTCTGATTCGGATCATATACAGGAAGCGACCCCGCTTGCAGATTGAAACTGGGCTGGGCTACCAGGAAGAAGATTTGCATAGGTATTGCCAGAGGTTTGGCCTATCTCCATGAAGAGTCGATACTAAAGATAGTGCATCGCGATATCAAGACAAGCAATGTGCTGCTTGACAAGGACTTTAATGCTAAAATTTCTGATTTTGGCTTGGCAAAGCTTAATGAAGATGACAACACCCACATCAGCACGCGGATTGCTGGAACTGTGTAAGTTTTTGTAGAAGGAACTTAATACACTATCAACTCCTTTCTCTTATTAAATTAAGTAAAATATAACCTATGACATGAGTCTCTGGCACAGTCTTCATGAGGTGGAGCAGAAACTATATTCTTTTTTGGAAATTTATTTTGGCCCTTCAACTTTGCAGTGGTTATATGGCTCCGGAGTATGCAATGCGTGGTTACTTAACCGACAAAGCAGATGTTTATAGCTTTGGAGTCGTCGCATTGGAAATCGTTAGCGGAAAGAGCAACACAAACTACAGGCCAAAGGAGGAGTTTGTCTACCTTCTTGACTGGGTAACAAAACACTTCCAAAACAATTGTTCCCTTTTCTTCTCTCAGATATCTTCAAGTCCATCACAACCAGCTCCATACCTTGCAAACCTAGAATGTTAAGATGAATTTTCTCAGTAAAGCATTCTTCACTGAATGGCGAAATTCAGCTTATGAAAATCTTTCCCATGTTTCTCCAATCAATTAAGCTTTGCCACTTGCTTCTTTGCATCTCATACTATATGTCTTCTTAACTCGGTAGTGTTTGTTATATTTATTCTGTCTCAAAGTTGTGCTTCTTTTCAGGCTTATGTGTTGCAAGAGAGAGGGAGTCTATTGGAGTTGGTTGATCCAGCCTTGGGTTCAGAATATTCATCAGAGGAGACAATGCTGATGCTAAATGTTGCTCTCATGTGCACCAATGCATCTCCCACTCTTAGGCCTACAATGCCCCAAGTAGTGAGCATGCTTGAAGGCAGAACAGCAGTTCAAGACCTACTTTCTGATCCCGGCTTTTCGGCCATCAATTCCAAAGTCAGGGCCATTAGAAATCACTTCTGGCAAAATCCAAGTTGTACACAAAGCATGTCAACCAACGGTCCAAGAACTGATACCTCTGGTAATTCATACATTGAAACAGAAGAGAGTGGCCGTCTTTAAAGAGTTAGTTCTGTAACTTCAGTTAAATCTGAAGAGTAAACTGTACATCAGAATGGCAAGTATTGTATATAGGTTCTGGATGTGCCATATATAGCAGTTTTTGGCCTCCAACCGTATAAATATATAGTCGAAATATAAGCCTACATATTCCATTTTTATGGCTCCGGATTCTTGTGCTTTGGAAGTTTGTTTCTATTACATTGTGTAGCAGTTGGGATCCGCTTGTTACATAAACTATTTAGGCCATTTTAACAATAAAATTATCATTCTAATACCAATGATAATTTACAATTAATTCAATTGAAATTCACAAAACTAAAAAATTTGCACAAAGCCAAAATATTGGCAGATAAAATCACATAAATGTAAATTTACTTTTGTTATACGTAAGGTGAAGGCGGGAAGTATGGCCCGTGCTTGTGTGCTATGTGTTTTTGGTTTTTCTACACATTAATACAATTGTATTTAAGGTGCAGATGCGATTCTTTTGATTGCTGCTGTTTTGCCTGCCCTTGATATGTCAAATACATGCCAAATATCTGCAGAATTCTTGCCATAATATATTGTTTGTTGCTTAAAAGTGTAATCTAAATAAAAACTCTGGTCATCAATGTACAATATTGTTTAGATTTGGAAGAAGTCTTGAGAGTATTGCGAAAAGAAAACTTTTATGCAACAGCAAAAAAATTGCTCTTTTATGACAGATGGGGTGTTATTTCTTGACTTTGTGGTGTCGAAAGATGGAATTTTTATGGATGATTCAAAGGTCGACGCAATAAAAAAATTTGCCACTATTGCAAAACCTACACGAAGTCCGAAGTTTCCATGCGTTAGTATCATTTTATAAGCGCTTTATTCATAATTTTAGTACTATTATGGCACCCATGACATATTGCATGAAGCTTGGGAGGTTTAATTGGTCTGAAGAGGCTACAACTACTTTTCACAAGATCGAACAAAAGCTTATTTCAGCACCCGTTTTAATTCTTCCAGATTTTAGCAAGACATTTGAGTTGCATTGTGATGCATCTAAAGTGAGTATTGGGGCTTTTTTTAAGCCAAGAAGGATGACTTGTAGCGTTTTATAGTGAGAAGTTCAATGGTTCGAAAATAAACTATAGCACATATGATGTGGAGTTTTATGCAGTTGTTCAAGCTTTCGAGCATTGGAGTTCGTATCTGGCTCATAATGAATTTATTTTGTTTACTGATCATGAGGTCTTGAAGCACATTAATTCACAAGATAAACTCTCTGCTCGCCATGTCAAATGGGCATCATATCTGCAGCAGTTCACCTTTGTTCTTAAGCATCAGTCAGGCACTTGAATTGAGTACAGATGCGCTTAGCCGTTGAGCCAATTTTCTCACGACCATGAGGAGCCATGTTGGGTTTTGATTCCTTGCTTGATTTAATAGCTACAGACCCGTACTTTGCTCCTATCATACATGACGTGGCAGCTGGTGTACGTTTTGATTTTATGATACATGATGACTTTTTATTTAAAGGAAATCAGTTATGCATCCCCGAGTTTAGATTGCGCCTGAAGATTATTCATGAATTGCGTAATGAGGGCCATCTGGGGAGAGATAAGACAATCTAGCTAGTGATGACATTTTATTTTTGGCCTAGTATTCGTTGCGAAGTGACCAAATTTATTGAGAGTTGTAGGGTGTGCCAATTATCTAATGGTTTTGCAACTAATGCAGGGTTGTACATGCCGCTTCCAGTTCCAAATCCTTCATGGGAACATTTAAGCATCATGGATTTTGACTTAGGGCTTCCGCGTATGCAGCGAGGTATGGATTGAAAGGTTTTGAATATTCTCAATGATTTTCATTGAAAAATCGTGTGATAATTATATACAATACTTTGCTTGGTGTCTACACAAATGATTTCCTATTCTAGGCAAGAATCAAGTCCTTGAGAGACAAGGAATATATACAGCAAATCTATGAAATAAACACAAATAAAACAGGAAACTAAATCCTTTTAGGATCATGTCTAATTACACCTCCTCAAGTTGGCGGGGCGGGGGAGCACATGCAACTTGGACTGAAGGAAAGAAAAGATATCAGCAATCTGATCAGCGGTAGAATAATAAGCAATAAGAAACTCATTGTGCACCACCCTTTCACGAACAAAATGATAATCAACCTCAACATGGCCAATGCGAGAGTGAAACACCGAATTAGAGGCAAGAAAGAGAGTACTAATATTGTCACGCCAAAACTTAGGGCAAGGAATTGGAAGATGAAGATTAAGAAACAAAGCCCGTAACCAAGACAAAGTGGTGGCAGTGTAGGCAAGCTGAGCGGGAGATACCGCGTTGCTTTTTGGAACTCCAATAGATTAAGTTAGTACCCAAATAAACGCAATAACCACCAGTGGAACGACTATCGTTGGGATCCTCTGCATAATCGACATCAGAATAGGCGTTGAGTTGAAGGGTGCTGGGCGAATAGAGTAACCCAAGAGTAAGTGTGTCATTGAGATAATGAAGAATGCGTTTAACACCGAGCCAATAAATAGTAGTGGGTTGGTGTATAAACTGACAAACGTGATTAACAGCAAAGGCAATATCTGGGCGAGTAAGGGTTAAGTATTGAAGAGCACCAACAATACTACAGTACTTAGTAGGATCAGAGAGAGGATCGCCATCAGAGAGGCTAAGATGAAGTCTACTGATAGTCGGGTAAGGCACGGTTTTGGCTTCGTGCATGTTAGCACGCTTGAGGAGATCCACAACATATTTGGTCTGAGTAAGAGATAGACTAGACGAAGTATGAGCAAGTTCCATGCCCAGAAAATAATGAGCGGGCCCAAGATCCTTCATAGAAAATTGATGACCAAAATCAGAAATACGTGTGGTGATGCGAGCGGGATCGGAGCCAGTGACAAGAATATCATCAACATAAATCAACAAATAGATGCGAACAGAACCATGAATGTAGATGAAGAGGGAAGAATCAGAGTGAATCCCAACTGAAGAAGATGAGAAGAGAAACACTGAAACGAAGCGTGAAAAGCCTGCTTGAGACCACAAAAAGAGCGGTGTAAACAACTAACATGATCAGGATAAGCAGTATCCACAAACTCAAAGGGCTGGTGCATATAAACCTCTTCATCTAGGTAACCATACAAAAAGGCATTTTGAACATCCAATTGATGAACGATCCAACCAAACCGCACACAGAGAGCCAAGATAAGACAAATAGTGGAATGATTAACAACTGGACTAAAGGTTTCACCATAGTCCAAGCCCGGCTGTTGATGAAAACCATTAGCCACTAAGCGAGCCTTGTAACGTTGAATAAAGCCATCAAAATTCCTCTTGACACAAACTTATTCAGCAGCACATTCATAGTGGGAGTATGAGGGACCAAATTCCAAGTCCCGGCACGAAGAAGAGCATTAAACTCATCTGTCATAGCAAGACGTCATTCTTGATGCTTATTAGCTTGTGAAAAAGAGGTAGGCTCAAAAATACAATTAGTAGAAGATAAAACCAATGCATGATTATCATATTTAGGATTGGGTTTACGGATACCGGTTTGAGCATGAGTAACCATCGAATGAGCATGGAGTCACTTTCCATAGACGTGCCAGAAATAGGATGATAAGATGTACCATGAAACAAGAGTGGTAGGCAGGAAGAAAAGTTTGCGGTTGGGGTTTTGAGTGTAGGTCTGAGAGAATCGAGAAGCTAAAGACACATGGGGACTAACTGGAGGGTGAAAGGCATGAGGGATTAGTAGGCACGCGAGGAAGGTGGGCGCAGGAGCAGCTGCGGCATGGGTGATGGTAGAGATGGACGGGACAGGGTTGGAAGCACGAGTTTCTGTGGAGGCGGGAGGATCATGTGCTGGATAAAGGGGACTAGGCACAGGCTGTGATTCTTGAAGGTGTGGGCTATAGGAAAACAAACTTGGGCCAGAGAGGATGATAAACAGATCCGACGAAGGAGAATGGTCTAGAGCAGGAGTAGTATGGGCCTTGTCAAACAGAAAAGAAAATTCATCAAATAACACACGACGCGATAAATAAAAAAACATGATTAGAAATAAGATCCAAGCATCGATAACCTTGATGGTTCAAAGAATAACCAAGAAACACACATTTGGAAGACCGAAATTGTAATTTATTATGATTATATGGCCGTAGATAAGGAAAACATGTGCGCACCCTAAACTTTTTAAAAACAAATAATTCTGTTAGTACGAAATTTGTATTGTCATTTCCTAGACTTGTTTACTGGATGTTTTGGCACAACTCATTCAACCCCATACATCCGAAGCATGACTTGACCGATATGAGAAACTTGACTTCAGGTAAATCATGACATAATCATGCATTCATTATAGGATTCTTAATTGGAGTTATTTTTCACTTAAAGTATTTTTATCTTGATCTTATTTTTAATAGGATTAGATTTTATCTCTTGAGATTACTTTCCTAGTTAGACTCTATTTTGGTTTAAGTTAAAATTATTAAGTTTTCATCATCTTGGACTTGGAAAGGATGTTTGAATGAATATCCTATTTGGCTTCGTTGTTTACATATTGATATACACTGTTTTGTTGGATATCAATTGATGATTGGATAATCATCCCTGATAGTACAAAAGATGACGAAATAGAATAGGACTTTATTTCAATCAAATCTGATTTGGCACGTTGGTGAAATATTAGCTTTTTGAATCATCTCTTGTAATACAGCAACATAGTTGTATAAAGCCAAGGGTGCATCTCCTTCTTGGAACGGTCTTTGGAGATATTTGTTTTGAGCATATAGAGTTCTAAGAAAAGCTATTGTGCGGATATTTGAGATAAATCATCAAGTGTTCAATGTTTACTTGGTGATTTATCAAACACTTTAATCATTCATATTGCATTCATATGCATGTCGGTGACTCATACGGTTGAGGGCACCAAGACCGTGGTGGCGGTTTTCCTCCGGTGAGCTTGAAGCAATCGTGGCCAGTATTGCGTTCAACATAAGGAGTGTCGAAGATCATCCCGTGACAGAAGTTGAGTTACGAAGAAGTCGGTAAACATTATCTAGAATGTGTCTAGGATAAGTGTGTGAGTACTTCTTGTAATCATCGTTCTATAGTGGATTTGTGTTGGACTGAGGAGTCCCGTGGATTTTCCCCAGAGG